TTGATAGAAATAAGCCTATTCATATTAACTATTTATCCTCATGTGAATTGTAGTAGTTTGTGTTTTTTAAGGAATTGATCAATTTCCTCTATGTCATCAAAATTTTGGGCATAGAATTGTTGGTAGTGTTTCTTTATTATTTTAATGTCTGTAAAATCAGAGTGATGGTGACTTTTTTCTGATATTGGTTGTATTTTTTCTCTCTTTTTGTTCTTACACTTGGCTAGTGAAAGCTGATCAATTTTATTGATCTTTTTTCAAAGAATCGGCTTTCGCTCTGTTTTCTTATTTTTATTTTTTGTTTACAACATAATTGGTTTCTGTTCTAATTTTATATTGCTCACTTTTGGCTTATAATTGTTCTTCTTTCTATAGTTCCCTGAAGTGAAAACTTAGATTATTGATTTTGGATTATTTTCTTTTCTTAAATACATTTGTACTGTAAATCTTCCTCTAAGCATTTTTTAATGGATCTCACAGGTTCTAAATTAGACCTTCATTTAATCAAAATAATTAAAAAATGTTTTCCTGAGACTTCTTCTTTGACCCATCTATTGTTTAGAATTGTGTATTTAAGTTTCAATTGGGGAATTCTTCAACTATTTTTATGTTTTTGATTTTTAGTTTAATTATACTATAGCCTAACAATATACTTTTATGATTTCTGTTCCTTTATATTTCTTGAGGTTTGTTATATGGCCTAAAACATGGTCTGTGTTAATGAGTGTTCCCTATACTTTGTCTGCCTTTTGATATGCCTTCTAATTTTTTTGTTGCCTGACAGACATGACATATCAGACAATAGGAGCTTAAGTCTGACAATAGGAGCAATAGACCTTTAGTGTTTTATGTTAACTTGGCAACAAATTGGGCTGCTCCTATCAGACAATAGGAGCAATAGGCCTTTAGTGTTAGGTTTTATGTTAACTTGGCAACAAATTGGGCTGCATTTAATATTTGCCATAGTAATAGGCGCCCGATAGTTTAAATTCTTCTAGTGACCTTATTTTTGTCTTCAGTACTTTCTTTGGGTTTTCCTAAGAAATCCTCCTTACTTAGAGCCTGTCTCACAGTTTAAGTTGCAATCTACTGGGTTTTTTGTTTTGTGTAGTTATTGTTGTATTGAGACAAAGTATCATTCTTTTGCCCAGGATAGGGTGCAGTGGCACAATCTTGGCTCACTGCAACTTCCACCTCCCAGGTTCAAGTGATTCTCCTGCCTCAGCCTCCTGAGAGGTGCATGCTGCTTTACTCAGCTAATTTTTACACTTTTAGTAGAGACCGGATTTCACCATGTTGGCCATGCTGGCCTTGAACTCCTAGCCTCAAGTGATCCACTTACCTGAGCCTCCCGAAGTGCTGGGATTACAAGCATGAGCCACTGTGCCCGGCCCGTAATCCACTGATACTATATAGAGCCCTAGTGATGTGGGAGTATGGTGTTGGGGGGACAAAAGTGATGTATTATATTAGATTATATCTCAGTTTTATAGAAGACTGGTTTACCTGGGCAGTGACCTTCATAAATGATTTTTTAGCTTTCTTTCCTTCTCTGGTGACACAGGAAACTACAGGGACTAAAGTCTTGTAACTTCCCTCTAGCTAGGATAAAGTTTTGGTGAAGGCTTTTCTCTGGAGGGTAAGTTTTGTTATTTAATACTTATCTGGGTATATTTCTCAATGTTTCTTTCTTTTCTTTTTCTTTTCTTTCTTTTCTCTCTCTCTCCCTCTTCCTTCCTTCCTCCCTCCATCTCTCTTTCTCGCCTTCTTTCTTTTTTCTCTACTATGGCCACAAGAGGTATCTTACTTGGCCCTTCAACATAAGAAACTGTGAGGCTGCTGGATGTAAATCCATGAATGTGTGGGGACCCCTATGACTACAGCCTCCATCAGATTCTTATTCTCTCCTAAGACCTTAGTCTCCAGCAATTTGTCAAAATTAGCATTTAAATGTTTCTACCACTTTATGGCCCCAGTTGTACATTCTCACAGATGTTGACTCTAACTCTCTGTATTCATTTGTCCTTCCAAATTTTGGAGTGGTGATTTGAACTTGAGATTTCATTTTCTGGTGGATGCAAAAGTCATTAATTTTTGCTATGTTCTGTTTTTGTTGTTGTATGCATGGTACTAACTCTGAAGCTCTTTAAAGAGCAGAAATCCCAAGCCTTAATACAACTTTTTATACTTCTGGACTACCTGATCTGTTATAATTTTCTTTGTAAGAATACATTTGAAAGAGGATAAATGTAACTACAGGATAAACAGATGATGTGGCATATGCTTTGGAGAGAGAAAATCATATGAAAAAATATTGATAATTTATTTTTTGCTTCAGTTTGTCCTGCATGTTTTAGGAAACATACATTCCAGTCTTAGTTTTCCTACTGGCTATGTGTGTGAATTTCAGCAAGTTACAAAATGCATCCCGGTCTCCGTTTTCTCATTTATAAAATGAATCACTTACATGAGATAATTCTAAGATGTTTCCTAGCTATAAATTTTTAGCATATTTCATATATAAAAGAGTCATCACTGGCAATATTGATTTATTTCATCATTCATGTATTTAACATGTATTAATTGATTTTTAATTCTGGGAAAAATAAACATTATAGTGAAGAACCTTGTTCATTTAGAATGCATATTCAGTTGCAAAAAGACTGTATATAAAGAAGTAAAAAAAAAACATTGGGAGGGAGTTTAAGGAATTTTTAATTTACTTTAAAAAATACTTTGATTTTTTATTTTTAATTATAAATTGACAAATTAGTTTGTATATATTTGTGGGGTTCAACATGTTAATATTCATGAATTTAATGTGAAGTAATAAAACTAAGTGAATTAACATATCTATCACATGAAATACTTATCTTTTCTGTAGTGAGAATATTTGAAATTTACTCTTTTGGAAATTTTTAAATGCATAATACGATATGATTTACTATATCCATCATCCTATGAAATATATCTCTATGAAAAAGAAATCTATTTTTCTATTTAAGGCTTTGTATCCCTTGATCATCCTCTCCCTATTCCCTTTGCCTCTTGCCTCTCATAGTTACCATTCTACTCTCTGTTCCTTGGAATTTGATTGTTTTAGATTCTACATATAAATTAGAACATGTGGTATTTGTCTTATTTCACTTAGCATAATATTCTCCAATTCCATCCATGTTGTTTGTTGCAAGGGACAATATATATTCTTTTTTTAAAGTTTTAAAAGACTTTTTCAAGACATATACATATATATATATATATATATATACACACACACACACACACACACACACACATACTATGTATATATACACACATCATATTATATGTATATATATAAAAAATATGGTATGTATGTATGTATATATATATACATAAAATAGTACTCCACATATACATGTATAATATATAATACATATATATAACATATATGTGTATATATATAATATATATTATGTATATATGCTCTATATATAAATAGATACAGTAGTACTCTGTTTGTGTGTGTGTCTCTACACACACAGACACACATACACACACACACACCATATTATCTTTATTCGTCTGTTGCTGGACACTTAGATTGATTCCATATCTTGGCTATTGTGAATAATGCTGCAAAGAATTTGGGTATGCAGATATTTCTTTTACACACTAACTTCAAATCTTTGAGTAAATACTCAGAAGTGGGATTCCTGGATCATACAGTAATTTTATTTTTAGTTTTTTGAGATATCTTTATGCTGTGTTCCTTAATGGCTATACTAATTTACAATTCCACCAACAGTGTACAAGTCTCCCTCTTCTATACATTCTCACCAGAACTTGTAAATATTTTTGCCTTTTTGGTAATAGCCATTCTGAGAGGTATGGTGTATTATCCCTTTGTGATTTTAATTTGAATTTTTTTAGTGATTGGTGATGTTGAGCATTTTTTCAAATATCTGTTGGGCATATGTATGTTTTCATTTGTAAAGTATTTATTTAGGTATCTTGCCTAGATTTTAACTGGATAAATAGTTTTCATAATATAGAGTAGTGTGTGTTCCTTGCTTATTTTTGATATTAACCCCTTATCAGGTGTATGCCTTGCAAATATTTTCCCCTGACTGGTAGTTTGATTCTTCACTCTATTTTTTGCTTGCTGTGTAAAGCTTTTTAGCTTCATGTAATCCCATTTGTCTAATTTTTTTTTATTGACTACACTTTTAGTATAAAGTCTAAATAAATTATTGCCCAAACAAATGTCATGTCATTATTTTGCTGTGTTTTTTTCTAATGGTTTTACTATTTCAGGTCTTATGTTTAAATGTTTAATCTATTTTGAGTTTTTTTTTTTTGTTGTGGTTGTTGTATGATGTTAGAGAAGGGCTCTTCACTCTTCTGCATATAGCTATCCAATTTCCTTGGCACCATTCGTAAGAGTATCTTTTCCCCATCATACCTCCTTGGTATCTTCATTGAAGCTCAATTGACTATACAAAAATATGTTTTTTTTAATGATATCTGTTCTTTTCTTTGGTCAATGAATCTTTGTTTATGACAGCACCATACTGTTTTATTTTCTGTAGCTTTGTATTACAGTTTGAAATCAAGCAATGTAATTCCTTCAGCTTTTTTTGTTGTTGTCATTGTTCATAATTTTCCTAGTTATTTGGAATTTTTTGTGGTTCTATATAAATTTCAGAATTATTTATTCTATATCTCTGAAAAATGACATTGGAATTTTGATCAAGATTGTATTTAATATGTAGATCACTTTGGTAGTATGGGTATTTTAACAATACTAATTTTTTCAATCTATAAACATGGAATATCTTTCACTAATCTGTGTCTTCTTCAATGATTTTCTTTGCTTTCTTTTGTTGAGAAGGAGTTTCACTGTTGTTGGCCAGGCTGGAGTGCAATGGTGTGATCTCAGCTCACTGCAGCCTCTGCCTCCCAGGATCAAGTGATTCCCCTGCCTCAGCCTCCAGAGTAGCTGGATTACAGGCACCCACCACCATGCCTAGCTAATTTATTTGTATTTTTAGTAGAGATGAAGTTTCACCATGTTGACAAGACGGGTTTCAAACTCCTTACGTCAGGTGATCTGCCCGCCTTGGCCTCTCAAAGTGCTGGGATTACAGGAGTGAGCTGCCCTGCCCGAACTTCTTCAATTATTTTCATTACTGTTTTATAATTTTCAGTCTATAGGTAATTTACCTTGATGATTAAATATATTCCTAAATATGTTATTATTTTTGTAGCTATTGTAGATTGGATTGTTTTCTTGATTTCTTTTTCAGAATTTTTTTTTTGTCAGAAACACTAGTAATTTTCACATCTTGATTTGGTATTCCTTTTCACATGTTGATTTGCTATATCTATTTATTAGTCCTGACAGTTTTTTTGTGGAATATTTAGGGTTTTCTATATACAGGATCATGTCCTCAGCAGACAACAACATTTTCACTTTATTTCCTATTTGCATGCCTTTATTTCCTTATTTTGTCCAACTGCTCTGATGAAGACTTCCAGTATCACCATGAATGGAACCTGAAGAATAAATATCCATATCTTCTGGATCTTGGAGGAAGGAGAAAAGTAAAAGTGTTCTCTTTCCAAATACATAAAAATGTCATATTTAAAAATATAGCAAATTCAGCATGATATAATTGTGCTCAATTGGGACAAATATACAGCTGATGGTTGATGATTTGGATATTCAAAGAAGCTATTACAATGGAGAAAAATGTGTGGACTGAAGCTTGCGTTGCAAGGAAAAGCCAGCAAAACAGAAATACATCATTCCTGACAGAAGAATCATCAGGATTGAAGCTGCACCTTGGAAATTAGTTTAATATTTTTTGTAAAACGGCAAAACAAAACAAACAAACAAATGAAAAGTAAAACTCATCTGGCTAAACAAGGGAGAAATGGCAGAAACTGAGTCAAGCTAAATAGGCAAAAACCAGTTCATATATAACCTATTTTCCACAATGTAATTTTTTTTTAAAATTCAGGTACAATGAGAATCTATTGAAACAGAAAAAAAATCTAAGCTATTTTAGTCTGGACAAGAGAAGACAGTAGAGTAAACTGGGGAGTAGAAAAAGAAACAGCTAAATGTGAATGGTGCCTATATCAATTTTAGAGTTAGAGGACACAGTGATTTTGAATGTGAGCGATGAGGAAAGGAGAAGTGATAAATAACTTCTAAGTTGTTGTCTTGAACAGTTCAGTAGATTGTTGTGCCATTAAGTGAGATATGATGACCCGGAAGAGGAGTAAATTTGGGAGGAAATAACTTCTGTTTGAGCTATATTCAGTTGGTGATTTCTTTAAACATCAAAAGAAAAATGAGAGCTGTGAAAACTGTGAAAACATTGGTAGGTCTTATGGTTGCCTAGGGGGAGAACATCAATGAGCAACAAAGGAGAGAAGATTGTGTTCAAAATGTCAGGCTCTCTACTAAAAAAACATTTGAAATAAACATGAGGAAAAATATATATATTGCAAGAGTTCCATTGCAGAGAAGTGCAGACATGGCTAGTATGCATGAGTACACCTAGTATGCATGAATACACCTTAGATATCTGTGAAAATATTATAGAACTCAGAATTAAAAGACCTAAAATATACTTAAAGACTGAACATGCAGAGGTAAAAGAACTGTTGCTAAGCCAGAATAAATATGTTCAAGTTTAGAGTGATATACAGCTAACTCCAAAAAATAAAAGAAACTAATTCAAGAGGAGACCAAATAAAAATGGTTTACAAAGTCAGACATGAAGTTGTTGTTTTAGACAGATGCAGCTTTCTACTAAAGATGGCTATTTTGTCTCTTAAAATGAATAAGGAGACAAGAACGTCACCGAGGATCTTAACAGAAAGAACCATGTGAGCCATTTATGGAAGAATTAGTTCACATTTGTAGAAAGGACACCTACACTAAGAATTCTGTATTACTTTTATCAAGCTTAAATCAGTACCTTTCATTCCTTAAAATAACATTTGAGACATTTTTTCTTTCTCATGGACACTTATTTACCTTAGCCTGATTCTGTTTCTCAATTACAAATAAAGAAGTTTGGAATGTATGAGGTAATTCATTAAAACCCCTTCATTTTCTGTAATAGATCAGGCGCAAGCCAATAGCTGTATTAAAGCCACATAGCTACTTAGTGGGAAATTTTGTTTTAGAACTCCTAATTCACCATATTGTGACTCTTTGTATTAGGGCCTTTTAAATACAGGAAAAAATAGAAAGAACAGAAATTTGCTTATGTCTTTTATAAAAATGTATTTATAGGAATTATTAATATTGATTTATACATGATTTATCTTATTTTTATTAAACTAAAAGTCCATTTGTATGAAGCAATAAGGCATATAAAGGATGTTTTATTTGATTACAAGTTAATATTTAACTTTAAAAAATGGTACTTTGATAAAAATGAGTGGCTTAATATTGCCATAAATTACTGGCAATCTATTTAATAGTGTTTTATTTCAAAAGTTTTTTAAATGTGCTGGTATTTTCAAATGAAGCATATATCTTCCATGACATCTATTTTTAGTGGGTGAGTACTAATATAAATAATTATGAGAGGGCATTTTTAATTTTTACTTTGATAACTATTTCTTTTTTGAAAACTGCTATTCTTTATATTTAATATTCTTCAATACTTTGTGAAAAGATTTATGTATCTAAGTCCCCCAGGATGGGATTCATACAAAGGTTTTGCTGAAGCAAACGGCAGCCTCCTAAGGACACAATGTTGATAAAAGACAGATTTTTATCCTAACTCTATGAAACCTAGAAGGCAGAATTTTCTAGGACTTACTTCACCTCGTAGAGCCTGCAAATGATTTTCATCGTTGGGAATTTAGGAAGTGATTCATCCTGCCAAACCTGTTGAGTTATTTTCTAGAAAGTCATGCCTACATCAGCTTGTCAAGCACAGCATATCTAAGTACTAAAACTGCTTATTCATGCAGTCTTTTGTGTACAAGGGGAATTATGAGCATGTTTTGTAAATTCTGCTTTTTAATATTCAGTACAGCAGTAATAGTGTAACTGATCCTGGAATAATATTTTCCTTAGTATGTAAGTCAGTATTATGTTAATGTTTTTTATTAATGAGTTACAGTTTCTTTAATAAATGTGACTCTGATTGTCTACAATACTTGAGATTAACTGAGTTGCAGCTTATACAGGGCTCACTACTTTTTCAGGAAATTAGTTATTACTATGTGGTCCAAAATACATAGCTTGAAAGCACTTTTTTCATTTATTTTTAAATTTCATTTTATTTATTTGTTTCACTAGACAATAAAAATTACATTTATTGCATACATTATATTTTAAAGTAGATATATATACACTGTGGAGTGGCTAAGTTGAACTAATTAGCATATGTATTACCTTATATACTTATTTTTTTGTAGTGAGAACAAGTAAAATCTACTGTCAACAATTTTCAATAAGTTACAGTTTTATTAAAAATAAACCCTATTTCTTATTCCACATTATTACAAGGTAATAAGGTGACTATGATATCAGTGGAATTCTTTGAAAATAAGTGACTTTTTATGGAGTTTATAGATCTGAGTCTATAATTACATTGTCTAAATAAGTTTCATAAATATGATGACTACAAAAGTTGTACTAGAATTAAATTTATGTTGCTAATATATTAATGTGACATCAACTATTGCAACAGGAGTTATTAAAGAATTTACATTTGAAGCTACACAAACACTGAATAGGATAGAAAAATAATTGGAGATGACATAAATAGAAAAATGAACATTAACAGTTCAGGGTATTTTCGTGTGTGCAAGAATTGTGAACACATACATCATTGAGTATTTGGTAGTTTTCAAAAATACCTGGCCAGTGATATTAATCAAGTTAGAAAAGTAATGTTTAACTGTCAGGAGATCAGATTCTAGTATTTCACTGCACTGAGATTATGTGCAGTATTATATGAGTATATGATCATGAATGTTATATGCATGGTCATGTAAAAATTTTATAAAAAGGGCCTGCAGATGTCTAATGTCTATTTTTTAAATCTAAAATTTTGTGGTAAAAATGTTTATGTTTAACTTCCAACAAAAATGAGTTATTTCTAGGGAGCCCTCATTCCTTTGGAAAAAATATTTATTCAGAATTTAGGCACTGTTGATATAATCATTCCAGACAAAAACAAGGTCTTAGATTTCAGGAAGCTCACATTTCCAATTGCAAGCATAATTACATAGCTCATTATCCAATTATAATTATGAGAAGTATTCCTCATTCATTCTCATTTAATGAGTATATATTGAGTGTCTATTTTATTTCAGACTCTTTGGTCAGTGCTAGAGATAAAATGGTAAGCCAAATCAAACATGATTTTCATTTTCATTGAAGACAAAGACTAGTGAATTTAAACTATATTAACCAGCTCATTACACAAATAAGTACAAAAATGCAAACTGAATTGTTATGAATAAATGAAATATAATTTATGAAAGTATATTAACAGCAACAAAATCAGAATGATATCTGTGGTGCTCAGGAAGTTTTTCTGAAGGAAGTGACACAGGCTATATGATTAGATATTAATTAGTCAAAGGTAGGGCCATTAGCAGAAAATTCGAAAGACTATAAGCAAAATCCTCCTGATGAGTGGGAACATAGCACATTGAAGAAACTGGTAAAATGGCATGGGAGGTGGAGGTAAATAATTTTAAAAGTAAGTGTAAAAGGTATCAGAGAATAAAACTTAACTTATTGTATGACATTGAGAGAGAGTAGCTTTAAATCAGTGAGAAAATAGGAACATGAAAAGAACATTCCAGAAAAAAAATAATTTTCAAAAGATTTGAGGTGTAACAACACTGAATACATGAAATAATGACAAAGTAACTAGAACAGTGACTTTCAATCAAAATGATATGCTCCTCAGGGGATAGTCAGCAATGTTTGGAAACATTTGTCACACCTAGAGGGGATGCTACAGGTAAGGAGAGGGCAG